CCTAGTAGTAAGGCCAGGAGCCCCTAGTAGCTTCTTGTTCCTAGTAAGGCCAGGAGCCCCTAGTAGCTTCCCCGGCTTATACATTCAACCTACAACCAAGCCCCAACAACGAGTTTGCTCAGAACGCTGGGACCAAACACCTGTCATCTGACCTTGACTCTCCACCAGCACTGGGACGAAGAATAATTTTATAGATCAGATCAAAAGTCTTGGAATGGGTCAAAGGCCTTCGGTTCCTGTTGTGCACCACATTCATCAGTGTTTTGGTCCTACCTTCAGACGGCATTGTGCCCCCGAAACAAGAAACAAGAAGAAGCAAGAAATATCCCCCTACCTCTGCAACCAGTGCGATCCTCCCATACTGAAACATGTCCATTTCGACTGTCAAGCCAGCCTGCTGGGTTTATCGGAGGTTTGCCTCAGGCGAACGCGATCGTAACGTGCATGTTGGAAAGCCGAAGCATTGAAAGGATCACAAGAAATCTATATTATACAGTATAATGTTATATAATGTTCACAGTGGCGATGTTTGTCTTTGACCTGGCTTGAGGGGAAAAGGATGCAACTGAAAGTTTCCCACATGGTGGTACGTAGATACGGCAAGCTAGATCATAGTGGAAACAAGGACAATTGACCCAATTCGATCAGCATTGCAGGCTCATATTCTTTATCCAGTTGTCCTGAGTAAGATCTTAAACCTTGATGATAGAGCAGTTGGACAACTCATTCCACCAATGGCAAATGTCCTCTTCTTTCACTTGCTCCTTCAACTCAAGACATGACATGGATCGTATGCAAGGTATAAAGCCGCCCCAAAACGCACCACGCGCTGAGTTCGCCCGTGAAGGATGGGCCTTTCTTAAGATCCTGGGTCTCTCCTTATGAACCACATCAGCACGCGCCGGACGTTCACGTGCTCCAGGTGGCTCTCAGGTGCTGCCAGCGGTCTCGGAATGGCAGCCCTTAAGATCGCCAGGGCGTGGAGCAAACGAAAAGAAGCGATGCCCTTTGTTCCTAGTAGCTTCTTGCTCCTAGTAGTAAGGCCAGGAGCGCTCCAAGTAGTGTCCTTGCCCCTGGTAGCGATGCCCTTTGCTCCTAGTAGGTTAAGGCCCACTCCTACAGGAGTTTCGGTCAGTTGTTTAGACATTGACAGAATCACTTGCCTTGACGGATCAACGAATGCCAAGAATCGGCTGTGGGCTCTGCACATAGCAAATCGCTGAGACTTGGGAGCTTTGTGAGCGACACCCGCACAGGGTGAAATAGCTGATGCCTCATTGTCTTCCACGGCTTCTCCAAACCGAACAAGTGTGGCCGAACAACAAGTGGTCATTGCGTAATAGAACTAAACAGCTGTCTGGAGTGCATGTACCATCATGGCTATGACAAGCCTCAAATGCCTTGCTGGACAACATGAGCTGCAGGTAATGTCCATGAGTTTCTGCTACCATCCCCTCTCTGCCCCCTTTCTCCCCTTCTCTCTCTCTCTCTCTCTCGCTCGCTCGCTCGCTCGCCCGGTGTCGTCTCCACACAGTTAGGTTAAGCCTCGTCTTATGTCCCCGCGCCATTTGGTCAAAGTACTATTATCCGTAATGTATTTATTGTTTTGAATTC